TATCGATACCCATACCGATATTAGATTATAATCATAATACCAGTACACCAATATATTCAGAATCGAATATCGATATTATTAAATCAATCTTTTGGGGATCAATCTTTTTGGGGCATCCCTACACCAACTACAAAAGTAGATAGCTGCGGGACTAGAGAGGCAAGCGGAGAACAACACGCCGTAACACACGTCGGTGAGATCTCGGACCGACGAATCGACCATCACACGTGTCATAGCGTGTTAGAGCGTTGGATGGCGTGGCGTGTTGCCTAGTGTGTATGCAATACATGTAATTAAATGGAAAAACATACGCACTGATCCACATGACGTGGGGTAGCATGTCATCGCGTGGCGTAGCGTGTTGGCTAATGATGTCCGGGCATAACTCCCCTCCTAAACATTCTACATTCTACATTTGACACGCATCAGAAGATGGTTACGCAAGGCGTTTCCTTTCATGAGCTTTTCTGTGACTGAAAAGCCCGATACGTCATGTTATCTCTCTTCCACTCTTTGTAAAAGGGAGATTTCGTTAGGCGGTTTCCAGCTTGGCCTATACATGTTTAATATTACTGAGAACTTGCTTATATTAAATGAAACACCCTGTATATTTTTACATTTTTGAATTCTACGTTAAATTCTAAACGTATTTTGTGTATAATGTTCTATACCTAGGTCTAACCGTTTTTGATATATTTTCAATTAATTTTATGTAAAAATGATTATATTCAAATTACAAGAAAAATAGCTTACATGCATGCATTTTTTAATTAATTTATATTAAATTTCTAATATACAAGACAGTTTATTCTATATAAATTTTTATAAGAATTTAATAAATACATTACAGGGTGTTTAGAAAAACGAATTTAAAATGTAATTTAAAAAATATTAATATAAGTTCATTAAAAATAGACTTAAAAATAAGAAAATTAAATTAAACCACTTAAAATAAATTATTTAATAAGATATCTACCAAATTTAATAAAATCTTAATTTGTTTGAAACATTTTTCTTATATAAAAAATTGTTAACTAGTAAAAATTAGAATTATATCCTCAAACGAACTATTCTGGTCCCACAGTAGGCTGTGATAAAATTGGCATTCATCGATCTGTCAAGACGATATTCAGTTATTTTATAAACAACTCTCTCTTTAAGAGGTAAATTATATTTTTATACCGAAAAAATAGTGTTTTATTAACTACAGCGTGTTTTTCGGTTTATTTTTTCTGTTATTATTTAGTTATAGTGATATTTAACAGTATATTACCTAGACAAACTTGTAAAATGTGAAATTTAAGTGAAAAAGTGAATCGGCAGGTGAACCTAAGCTACACTGGGTAAGTGTTTTGAGATGATTTTGTTATAATTATTAAAATACACAGTAAAATAAAAATACACAATTATAGGTAAACATATTCATTAAAAAATGTATTTATCGGTTTATTTTTCATTAGATATGGATAAATTAAGAGTATAATCGACACTGAAAGCATTTTAATGCATGCGTGATGTGATTTGAATGTAATGTACTTTTTTGAATATTCATTTACTTTTTTGAAGCATTTTTTATGTATAACTAAATAACAGGGATATTTTCAAGTCACTGAATAGTCTACCTATAAGGATTGTACAGAGTGTTTTTAATACAAAGTCTGGATTATACATTGCTCAGTACCGAATATTCTGTTTAAATAATATTCTAAAATCAAAGTTTAGTTATTTAAAATAAATTTACATTTGTTATTTCATCTCATAGCCTGCTCAATAATAAAAGAAATAACAATAAGGGTCACCTATAAATAGGTCTATATTATTTGTAATCGTTGTTTGAAAATACAATTAAACTAAACAAATTGTTTGGTCAAATAATTCCATTATTGGATTAGTGATTGTATGTGGAAAACCAAACAGGAAAACAATAAGCAAGCCGAATTTTGCTTTACTGGACAGCAGAGGACAGGGACAAAAAATGGTCTTAGAACCATAAACATTAAAAAATATAGAACGCCAATTGGTGTAGGTACATGATTTTCGAAAAAAATATTAGTGTTATTTTTTTAAACTTATTCAAAAAAAAACTAGATCGTATCAGATTTTCAATTTTGAATATTAAGTAGGTGTTTGTCAAAATAAACGCCTCAAAAAATAAAAATAACTGCAGTACAGAATGTATTTTTTTTGAGGAGAGGAAAGATCTTTTAAAGACATCTATCGGATGTTGATGACAGATAGTGTGGGATTTCCACCCACTAAAAAACCTCATCCTTTTCTTCACTACAAGTTGGAACTACCGGTAAGTATTACTTCAGCATGCAGCTTTGTCTTCTATTTAATCTTTCTGTCTTCTCTTCAGGTCTGCCTCTTTTGTTTCTAATATCTTTTTTGCCATATCGGATACAGAATTCCATACAACTCTTGACTTTAACATTTGTTCTATTATATTGTTCGGGTCTAATTTCAGTCCCACTTCGTACTCCAGTTTCCTTCGCTCACCTATCCAACGGGGACACGAGAAAAAAGGATGCTCTACATCATCTTGTGTGTTTTCGCAATAGTAACAGCTTTGCGATTCTCCTATTTTAAACCTACAGTGGTATGACAGAGTGTCGGTTCTATGAGCCGTGGTTCACTGATTTAGAAAAAGCGTTCGACTGTGTGCAGCTAAGAGACGTTGTACACCTTCTTTACAATAGGCAAATCCCACACAACCTCGTTAAAACCATACAAAACATATATGAAGCGAACCAAATTCAAGCTAAAATTAACGGGGTCCTGACCGAACCAATAAATGTAGGCTGTGGTATCCGACAAGGTGACTCCCTGAGCCTTCTTCTTTTCAACATCATTATGGACGAAATAATAGGAAATGTACGTTTACTGAAGGGATACAGTATGGGCGACCAGGAAATTACTATTCTATGCTATGCCGATGACGCCGTATTGGTAGCTGAAAATGAGAACGATCTACAGCGCTTATTACATCGATTTAATTGCACTGCCAAATCACTTAATATGATAATATCGACCCAGAAAACTAAATGCATGACGACATCAAAAGTACCACTAAGATGCAAACTGGAAGTCGAGGGCAATGTTATTCAGCAAGAGATGAAGTTTAAGTAGGTATCTAGGCATAGAAATCTCAGGATATGGTGATGTAGAAGCGGAGGTGCGAGAACGGACAACGAAGGCAACCAGAATAGCAGGATGCCTGAATGATACAATATGGCGAAATAAAAACATTGAGGTGGAGACTAAAGCGAGAATTTACAAGGCAACGGTACGACCAATAATAACATACACTGCAGAAACTCGACCTGATACAGCGAAAACTAAACAACTACTAGAAACAACCGAAATGAGAGTACTACGCAGAATAGCTGGCAAGACGCTTCTGGACAGGGAGAGAAATGAAAGCATAAGAAGAGCGTACAAGGTGGAAAATGTAAATGAGTGGGTACTCAGCAGAAAGGAAGAATGGAACGAGCATATCAGCACAATGGACAACAGAAGGATAGTGAGAGTTGCACGCGACAAATCACCGCTAGGTCGCAGAAGCTTAGGACGTCCACGAAAACGATGGAGCGACAACTTGTCAGTCTAACCGGTAGAGACGACGAAACCAAACAGGCGATTCGCCTAGTATGAAGAAGGAAGAAGAAGAAGAAGAAGAAGAAGTGGTATGACATGAAACAGCCATGGCCGCTTATCAGTTGTGTTAAGAAGAAATTCATGTTTCCGTGCCTTCTATTAACCCAAGGTCGTATATCTGGGATCAGTTTTCTTGTCCAAGTTCCAACACTACTAGTTCCCATCCATCTTTCTTGCCAAACATCTAGTGTGCGATGTTTTTCTAATATTTTTACCGTTCGCTCAGCTTTATATGTGCGACTCCTCTCCCCTGCCTGTAGATCTATTTGTACCACGCCTGCAATCACTAGTAGACTCTCTCTGTAGACACCGTACGAAAAGCACAACATATTCTTATAGCCAGCTTCCTTTGTATTTTCGTAAACATATTTTTGTATTTTTTTACCTTTAGGACTTCATACAATATTGGTGCTGCGTATAACAAGGGTATAACATAATTGAATATAAATATTATTTAAAAAGTATATTAAACTGATTACACAGGGTGTTTCAAAAAACAAGTGCCATCTCTTGTGGGGAGATACCTCACGTAAAAATATGATTTATTTTTTAAAGGTTGATTTCTCACTATACCTTCCGTTTCCATTCCATATCCGTTCCGTAATTTGATTATATTCACGCTATACGAATGCTTTCGTTCCGTATCAGTTCCATACTTTTTATTGTACAATGTATATCATTACCCTTGTTTATAATATACAAGGATCATTACGAAAGTTTTATTTTAAAAATATGCCTCATTTGAAAAAGGTAATAAATTTAATTAAGAGGTGAAAGAATAAACAAATATCAGTAAAATATTAACAGAGCTGGTACAAATGTAAGAACTTGACTTTGCTGTTTCCGATACAATTCAGTCCGTCCGTCAAAAAAATGTATGGAAAGAAAGGATATGGAACGGAAGGGAAACGGAACGGATAGTGTGCATTGTCCTATTCATTTACATGATATAATATTTTATGTAAAGAACCTTTAAACTGCTCAAATATTGCTGTGATATATCTTTTCGACATATCTATAAATTTTAATGTCTATGGGAACTGTGGACTGTAAAAATGGACAAAAGGCAGTGAGGCCATCGTGAAATGAAGCGAACTGACCGCATTCAGCTTGTTAAAAGTCAATTTTTCTGTTTACAAGGGCTCGCAAAAAGTTTGAATTGCTTTTTGATAGAATTGAATTGTTTCACAACTAGAAACCTGTATTTTCGCATTTGATTTGTCAATTTTTTTTCAATAATTCTTTAGTAAAATGTCCTGTAACTTGTAAATAATTGTCTTTATAGTATATAAAAAAATAAGGGGAGAAATAGTTTGATAAATATATTATATTTAATGACTTACATCCAGTAAATGCATCAGAGATGACCGGGAACTCGGCTGTGTTCTTGTCATATCTGACAGAACATGACACAGTTCACCGCTTAGTCTAGATGTGGCAACGTGGCTTGGCAATGTGGCTCTTTTTAAAGTTTCGCCCAATCCAAAAATCCACATCTAAAAAAAATGTTATGATTTTTCACTAATATTAAATTGCAAGGTTTAGAGTATTAAAGCTTAAAATAGGATAATCTACAGGGTGTTTTCCATGTACCATTTTTTAAAGTATATTAAAATAACCAACATATTTAACTTTAAAAATTTTAAATATAACTTCCAATATTTATCAGGCAAATATAAATATTTTAACTTACTTTTTCAAACTCCGTATCGCTGTAAATTTTGCCCGCCCTGTATTCTGGAGCTAGATATCCTGCCAAATGTGCCGGAGCACCGGAGACGAAAATAGATGGTCTCTGGCACAGTTTTACTCTGCCTTTCGAGCTCAGCATCAGAGTGGATGGTGTCACTAGAGGTAGACATTGTTTACCAGCCAATCCATCTAAAATAAAAAAATAGATTTATATCGAAAAATTTAATATTGAATTAAAAAACAGTATAGAGTTACCAAAAATACAACTGAATTAAAAAAAATACTAATCGATATTTAAAAATTCAGTACTGAATTAAAAAATAATAGAAATAATGTAATAATAAATTATTTTGAATTAAAAATAGTAAAATAATACTTTTTTTTGCCTCTTGAAAACATAACTAAATACCGATTTTACGTATAGTAAGTATTTAAGGAAACATAAAGTTGGATCAAAGTGCCCGAGGTAAAACTGAATTAAAGAATATTTAATTAAAAAAATTCTTAAATGAATTTTGAAAAACAGCATCAAGTTATAAAATATCGTACTGAATTAAAAAAAAGTGTTAAATTAAAGAATACAACATTAAATTAAAAAAACAATATTGAATTAAAAAATATATTGAATTAAAAATTTTCTAGAATGAATTAAAAATATTAAGAATTCTGTTTTGCCCTGGGTAAACCTAATTAATAAAAACAAATATTGAAAACGCTTGAATAGGAAAATACAGCATTAAATTATAAAATATCTTTTTGAATTGAAAAATCATTGTTGAATTTAAAAAAAAAACATTGAATTAAAAAGTATATTGAATTAAAAAAAAATATATATGAATTAATTATAGTATACAGGGTGGTTAGGCATATTCTGCAGATCAAAATAAGTAAAAAAGTTTGTATAAATGTATGTCTCAAAATACTTAGTTTCGGAAATACAGGGTATAGAAGAATCATTTTTATTTCGATTTTTTCCAAATAATTTCAGAAGTAACGTCAATATTTGATAATAGTAACGTCAACAAATATATTGACGTTACTTCATAAATTATTTAGAAAAAATGGAAATAAATATGAAACTTGTACACCCTGTATATCCGAAACAAGCATTTTAGAACATACATTTAGAAGAACTTTTTTACCTATTTTTATCTGCAGAATATGCTGACGAAGTTTCCGGAATACAAATCGAACCACCCTGTATAATAAATTTTCAAAAAGTTGAATTCAAAAAAGATTAAGAAGAATAAAACAGTTTTAAACCAATATCGAATTAAAAATTGGAATAAATTAAAAAAAATCATTGTTGAATTCAAAAAACAATGAATTAAAATATATCTAGATTGATTAAAAATTATATCAAGAATTCTGTTTTACTTAGGATAAAATAAATCAGGTTAAAAAATAATATTGAATTAAAAAGAATACATATAAAAAAGTTGAATTAAAAAAATCTGGAATAAATTAAAAAAAGTTCTGTTTCCGCCCGGGATCGAACCGGGGACCTTCCGCGTGTTAGGCGGATGTGATAACCACTACACCACGGAAACAGTTACACAAATATCTCTCCAATACTCTCACTAAATAAACCCAAAATCAAACGTAATAACCTTTGGATTTGTCCGGGGTTCTGTTCAAACGCAAATCGAGCCCTTTTAGGCCCTCGGGCCTCTTTCATTTCCCGTTTAGAGTGACCGGCGTGACGCAAAATACACACAATCTGTGCGGATTTAGGGCACGGTCATTAGCAAAACGAGCAAGACGCAATCGGGTCTGGAATAATAATTGTTGTTTGTTGCCGGTTGCAAAACAATTAGTGCAAATAGCATTAAATGCCTTTATTTCAACTGGGACAGTGCTATAAGCAGGGAAATATTAGGGCCTAATAACAGCTATTGTAATAATATTATACAGTGTATTCAGAAAAATAAGCTTTATTAATATACAGGGTGGTCCGAACTGTATTCCGGAAACTTCGGCAGCATATTCTACAGATAAAAATACGTAAGAAAGTTCGTATAAATGTATATCCTAAAACGCTTAGTTTCGGAGATACAGGGTGTAGAAGTTTCATTTTTATTTCGATTTTTTCCAAATAATTTCTGAAGCAACATCAATATTTAGATGAAAATTGGTGTCTGGAAGTTTTTTGACATTAGAAATTTGGATTTTGATGTTAAAATGACACCTATTTGTAGGGAGCGCCACGTACATGTGTTTTAACTGCTTTGAAGAGTAATAACTTTTCTCGACCGTACCTGTATAAAGCTACTGAGTAAAAAATATAAATTTACGACGTTTCTTATGTAAAAAAAGTTTCTTGGAAACAGTATGGAAATTTGGAAAAGTATAAAAGAAATTAACCGTTTTAGAACATGCAAAATGTTTTTATGAAAAATACATTTTTCTCAACAATAAAAAGGTTTTTCCTCTTATAAAGACAATCCGGGGACATACTGTATCTTTTAAAATAATTTTGATACATTTTTATTTTTTATACATTTTTTTTATTGTTGTAAGTAATTTTTAACTGCAATTTTAACTTAAAAATCTTTTGTTATAGGTTTATATGTACACCAAAACACTCTAATAAAATTATTTTATACTGCTCCACAAAATAAAATATTGATTATCTATAAAACACCGTAACGTAAACTCCTGTTTTATGCATTATTTTAATCATACTAAAAGTAATAAAATTTAATTAAGTTGTTACAGAGGTAAAATAAAACAAAAACGGCTGCATTACATTTATTTACGGCAGCTTTGCTCAATATTTATATATACAGGGTGTCACTGGTGAAGTATTTTATTTTTTCTTTATTTAAATTTTTTTAAAACCATCATTGATTGCCTACTGTGACAGGTTTTTTTTTCGATAATCTGGTACAATGATGCAAAAGACGTTTATTATTGTTATAACCTAAGGTTATAATTTAGTGAAAAATACAATTATAAATAAATTACAAGGAATATCTACGCTATTTATCTTGAAAAATCCATTACATTTCATTAAAAAAGTTATTTTGGTGTTATTGTGCCCTCCTGGCTTATTCCTCATCTCTTCCTACTCGTTAAATAGATTACAGGGGTAGATAAAAAGCCCTTTTTGCTGTAATTCAGACGGTCAATAAACGTTTTCGATATTTTTTTATTCCTTTTTACTGTTGTCGACGTAAAGAAAACTTATTTTTTATGAGGCAGGTGGATCGTTTTCAGAGAAATGATGTGTAAGGTAAATGGGAAGTATTTTTGAGTAAATAAAAAAAATAAAAAAAAGAAAAAAGTATTTGGCAGCGGTGGGATTCGAACCCACGCCTCCGAAGAGACTGGTGCCTTAAACCAGCGCCTTAGACCGCTCGGCCACGCTACCTTATGGACGAAATTGTATTAAAGCGTCTGTTAAGACGGTGCAGTATTTATATTTTTTCTATTAATAGGATAATTTTAATCTTATATACTAATACGTAAGATTCCATAGTTTTACGCAGTGTTGCAAATAGTCTTTAAATTTCGACTATTTTAAATTAAATCCACATTTTTTTTTAAATGGCACATCCTTATTTTGTTTTCAAAACATTTTCGTAATTGTCCAAACACAATACATATACATATAGTCTGTGAAACGAATAACTTTGAATTTGACAGTTCCCGCGGGCTTTTCTAGTGTAAATTCTATTAGGTTAGCACTTTGAATAAGAAGACTAAGGAAGGAGCATAATGCTATCCATGTATTCATGCATGGTGGGCGGAAAAGCCACCATAAAAGCTCTCTAGGGTGGGGATCCTTGACAGTTCTGTTTGACGATTCATTTGACACATTTGAATTTGATTTGAAATTTTGTGGATTTGTCAGTCTTTACGGAGCTTATTTTATGTTATTTATTATTTATTCTACTACTGATAGTTGTATAAAGGTAGTAAATCTAGATGGAAATTGTGGCAGAACTTAAATTAACAGTGACACTATCGCGATTTATCGAAAAAGACTCTAAAATAGTTGGTTGTGTAGCGTGCGGTAGATCTCGGCAAAAATTGAATGAAATAATGGAACAACTTTTCGCTAGTAAGTGACTATATAATATACATACGTGTAGTAAACCGATCATTTATGAAATTCACTTAAATTAACTAAATTATATATTTTTCTTGCATTTTAGCTTTTATTTATTACTTGTCAAAGATTAGATGTCAAAGAATTTAGATACGTTAATTTGACTTACCTGCTTCAGTATCGGATGTTTGTGTTAATAAATACTTATTATAACTTATCTATTTTTATTAGAATTATATATTTTTATAACAATTTTAATAACTACCAACATTTATTCACAACGTAAAATAAAACAACAAATTATTGAGTCTACCCCACGTCTACCCTACATCATAGTTTTACATTTTTTAAATAAAATTAGAACGACACTGATAAACCGGAATTTAAATCGGCCATATTTGAGGCCCATCGAAGTGTACCTAAGATTTTTGATATGCTCCTTCCTTAGTCTTCTTATTCAAAGGGTTAGCAGCTTGCGGCCATGCTGATGCAATGCCGTCTCTAATAGAACAGCCTCGGAGCGAGATTTATGACGTCACGCTAGTTAGATACCACGGATTAATAAATATGTTGTAGAATACATGGAAAATATAATTATTCAAAATTACATATATATTTATATGTAATTTTTTGGATTATATTCGACACTATTTTTATCATATGACACAACACTGATGACCAAAAAAAATAATGAGAAACCAAATGAAAACTTAATCAGCGTTTTTCCCGAACCTAAATCCCAAGAAAATCAAACATTTTAGAATAATTTTACATATAAAATGACAGCGATCTTTATTTCATAGCCATCGCTTTTCATGTTAAATTAGATCGATTTTCAAACCCCAAAATTTAAAATATATTTTACATTTTACCCATTATCTTATGTACCTATTCATTATTTGTATATTATAAAACATTTGCTGCATTTGTATGGTTCATAGTTTATTTGCCAAAGTATTTATTACTATAAATCGGTATATATATTGTATTTATTAACTGTATATTATGTATATTTCATGTAAACTATATCATTTTTAAAATACAAACCAAAAATACAAGGAATAATTATGTTTTCCATGTATTCTACAACATATTTATTAATCCGTGGTATCTAACTAGCGTGACGTCATAAATC